AGGTTGGAGTAAAAAATGGAAAGATTTGATCACTAAAAGTACAGAATATGGATCAGTTAAAGTTTCTTGGCTGAACATCACTAATGAAGCTGATCAGTTGGCAGAAATTCACAATGAACTTCAAGTCAGAGTTGGGCAAGTTAATGGAGGTGTCCAACAATGGAAGTCGTCAAATTATCACAAGGCCTTACTTAGCTGGAAAGAAACCAAAACTGCAGAGGAAGGTTTTAGTAAAGCTCAGAAACCTTGGGCCAAGAGAAATGATGAAGGTAATCATTAAATTGACTATAAATGGACTGTTAAACTTATTTATATTTCATTTACTTAGATATATGTCGTAGTTCAATTTTATCCTTGGTTCGAATTTTATTTTCCTTTTTCAAACTCATTATCATACATTAAAATACCCAAAAACAAAAGAAAATAAAATTTGAACCAAGGGTAAAATTGAACCACAACATACACACCTGATCAAATGATGTTGCTACATGAAGAGTACAAACTGTGAACAATGGATATTTAGGCTGGAGAATTAATTTTTTAAAATTCCATGTACAATGGAAAACATTCATTCTTTACTAGTTAATTGGACCTCTGAGTCTTATCACCAAAATTTCATGACATCCCATCCCTTACAGCTTATAGCTTTTCCTTGACTTCTCACTTGGATTCTCAGCTATGTACATGTACAAAGTTAAGTTAATTATTATTAAGGTGATGCCAAATCCAAGTCATCATAGAGGTTTCACCCATGTAATGTGGTAGCTGTAGAGAACTTTGTAGTGATATTGCCATGTGCTTTTGCTCAATTAGCTCTGCAATTTTCCTTCCTTCATTTCACTTCCTGCATTCCACTTTTTGGTTTAGTGTTTGTTTCATGCATCAGTTTGTCTGAATTGTGTCGACAGGAGGTTGCCATGGAGACCTACTTGCTGCCAAGGCAATTACTGTCCTCACCTGTCATTACCTTTGCTCCACCTACCCTCCAATATTAACTATTTCACCCCAAAGATCTCATTAGAAATTCTCCTTACTGTCTGCCATACAATTCCTATGATGTTACTTTGGAGAATTTGGTATTGGATCTACTAATAATCCCCAAATTTATGTTTTCTTTATTCTCTTCTCTGGTCTGCTTGATATTGTAGTGATATCTTAAGAAGATATTCTGTCTTGGTCATTCATGGGAGTTAAATGATAAAAATGTTGTGGACTTAAATTGATTTTTTATCTAACAGTGTTGAAATGCAAACGGGCATACTACCAGGCCTGTAAGGTCAGAGATCAGTCTGAGAAGCTTTACAAGGAGGCCTGTGTGGAGGGAAGTACAGTCACAGAGGAACAAGTGAAGAAGCTGAAGGATAAATCAGATAAAGCTGCAAATGATGTTCAGACCACAAGAGACAAATATCAGGATAGTCTGAGAGATATTGGAAATTATAACCCCAAGTATGTGGAGGACATGCGCTACACGTTCGACAAATGTCAGCAGTCAGAAGAGGAGCGAAAGAACTTCTTTAAACAGACCTTCCTGAACTACTCTCAGCAGTTGTCTCTGTCACCGCATTTCAACAGGTGTGTGCCTTTTTAACACTTGATTATGATAATGTATTCAACTCTCTTCTTAAACAACCACCATTAGTGCCGACAAAAGTGGTCGGCCGGGGGAGATGGTCGCGTAGGAGAAAAATTCCCACCTTTTATGGTACAAACGATCTTATTGTCTCAGTTGTAGAAAAAACGAAAGCAAAAACGCTCTCAAGACGCGCTTTTTTTTTCGCGAAACACGAAAAACTTGCGAAGGTTTTGCAGCTCATCTACGAGGACCATTGTTTTACTTGATTTTCATCCGCAGGTCAAATGAAATTTATTTCATTCAAAATTATGATTAGAGACCACTAATAACAAGTTCATGTAAATTACCGTTCGAACGTATCCGGTTAACTCGCCACCAATGAGAGTCAAATCGCCACCGTCAGCGAATTGACTCGTTTACGATCTTCCTCCAAGAAAAACCGGTAAAAAGATAAAATTACAGATCTCAGCGTTCATGTTATAAGTTTCATTAGATTTGATTGCGAAAAGGTCACGTCGATAGTCTATGTGGTTAACGCAAAATTAGGACGCCAAGTCCACTTTTAATTTCGCAATGTACAATTACATCGTACCTTTCATAATTGATGCGAGTTTTATCAAATTTCATAAACATCGGCAAAACTCAGGGTGAAAATCACTTTGGTTTCACGTTACGCAACATGATCAAAATCTTCGTGTTATCAACATGTTTTATTTCATATGAAAAGGTTAACTTTTTGTAATTAAGACGCTACACAAAAGTCTGAGTCCCATAAACTGTATTTGTCTGCGGTTCTAATTTCGCAGTATACTACTACAGCTAAGCTTTCATTTGATGTAAGTTTCGTAAAAGAGGTTACAGGGAACGTCCGAGTCAAATCACCACCGGTGGCGTTTTAATTCTCAGCGGTGGTGAGTTTGTTGAGCTGGCGAGTTGACCGTCATATTCAATTGGTTGCGCATGGAATCGATCTTGTCCGAGGCGAGCGGGATAAATTATGGTGATTCCCAAGAAAAAAAAGGTTTTTCGAACAATTTTTTTAAACTTTTTTTTTATGTTCCTTGACAATGTCTTTTTTAAAAACTACAATGAAAACGATGTCGCCGTGCTTGCTTGTGAGATAATTATGATAGGCCTATATAACCCCAATTATGCCCGTAGTGGTCCTGATCACGCGCGCCGTTTCATTGGTTCACAGTACAATTGCGATCGCTGGGATTACATGTAAGGGATTTTAAAGTTAAGCCTGATTACGTGATTTTTATTCGCAATACAGGATGCGCAAGTAACGAGTAAGTAATGTAAGTAATGAATCAGTTTAAATTATCACTATGACGAACGTCTCAGTTTAATTGTAATATTTCCGATGGCAGGATGTCCAGCATCTACACTGGTCTCAGTAAAGCATTTGAAGCCGCAGATGCCTCGGCAGATATTTCATGGTGGTCTGTTAACTTGGGATTTGAAATGCCAACACGATGGCCAGAATTTGAGGTACTTTTTTTCGTAAAATGAGAAACAGGGCACTTCTTTAACCTTTTTTAACCCCTTGAGAGCGAGTAACATCTTTTTTCTCTTAACAGTCTCAGTGTTGAGTCAGACATAAAGGCCTCGAGAATAAGGGAAATGATCACCCACTAGAGAAGCCCTTGATTGTTAATTAAATTCTCCTTGTCAGT